TGTTACAAAGAGGGTGAGAATCAATTGATCGCTGTATTAATGCGTCTGTCCGTCAAAACAGTGAGTTCGAGATCGGTCATTTACCTATAGTGATCGGTCGATCGCGGGTGAATATCTTGAATTGCCTTTAGCTTGATCCTCACTCGAATAAATTTCCTTAAATCAAAGATATCTCAAGATCTAACCGTCGGATTGAGGCGAACGAATATCCGATTTGAAGCTGAGATCCTCCTCTATCTCATGGTGAAATATGAGCTTGATCCAACGGTGTGAATACCTTTATCTGGAGTAAAACATTTGATGGTCAGGATTTGTCATTCCTTGAAAAGACTTGATTTTGCTCTTTTTTTGCCTAAAATGCTCCAAAAACCTGTATTGACTCCAAAACCCACGAAAATACTAAAAGTAGCATGTTAAGTCCAAAAAGTATTTATTTTTTTATTAAATACATATTAAAAATAATAGAAAAATAGGTAAAATATCGTATATATCAATGTCATAATTGCTTCACAAAGTTGTGTTTCAAGACAGGAGATATGGCCAAGTTTGATTCATGAAGTTGCTTGTAGTTTTGCTGAAAAGAGATTGTGTTTCCCTGCAAGACATCATCAAGCTCGCCATAGATCTCAATATCGTCACTTTCCTCTTTATCTCTCACTCTGGTAATAGCAAAGCAGATGAAATCGCAAAACAATGTTTGTATCAGGGTCCGGTTTTTTTCGGTTTAAACCCTATTCCGGTTTAATTATGAAATAAAATCTCTCTTTCGACCAAAAAAACGAGATTGTGTTTCAAGCATGATATACTTGGCTGGTTGTAATGCTTTTTGTATGTTAAGTCACATATTCAAGCTGATGTTATATTTGCTTTGTGTGCAAGACGTAAGTTGTTGCTGACACAGAGTATGCTACAGCCACATGTAAGGTGTTCTTTCACTCTCTTGATCATCATGTGGAACCAAGCCTTCTTTCATTTGTGTCGAGACTGTAATTCTAGAATTTTTCATTGTTGGTTGGAGTATTATGAGTTGATGCTGCATTTGTTTCCATGCGT